CCATAGCCAACTAAGAGTATTGTATGCCTACCCTTTGTTTGTTGCTGTGTTACATCGCTCGGTCCTTAATAAAATTTTCTACCCAAAACAACAAAAGTAGAGCTAGAAAAATATAAGAAACTTACATTACAAATATGATTTTATTTATAATGTTACTTATAAATTTTACTTACACTCTTGACCTCTCTAAGTTCGTCATGCATATTTATAACAAAAGGTGGGGTGTTTAACAATGAAGCCTAGAACTACCTCTTCACTTGCCTTTTCATCGACTAAAGTCTTCAATGCAAAGCTTTCATTTTAAAAAAAAATAGGACATATTAGTATTGCAAAATTATTCCAAAAGTAAAATTACAAATATGTAGAACGTACATCCTTTAGTGGATGCATTCATCTTTTCTCCCCTTATAAACGTAATCTTGCTCAAAATTTATGTCCCGTTCCTTCATGTACTTCATTGTAGTGGATAACTTACAGCTAACACTATTTGATTCTNTGGATGCATTCATCTTTTCTCCCCTTATAAACGTAATCTTGCTCAAAATTTATGTCACGTTCCTTCATGTACTTCATTGTACTGGATAACTTACAGCTAACACTATTTGATTCCAGTCTTAATCAATGATTTAGTTTTACATTTATGCAATCCACTATTTCTTGTGGTGCGAGTTTGCTTTTAAAATTATATTGCAAATTAAACAAAGCCTTGCACGCACTAATAGTGCACATTGCATAGAAACAACCTGGAAAAGTTATATTAGTAAATTAATCATGGATAAAAACTGCATAATTGCTCAATATACTTGCTACAATCTCTTTGATCTTTGGCCTCAATTAGGAGATCAGCATTGCANAACCTGGAAAAGTTATATTAGTAAATTAATCATGGATAAAAACTGCATAATTGCTCAATATACTTACTACAATCTCTTTGATCTTTGGCCTCAATCAGGAGATCAGCATTGCACATGTGCCAACTCAATGAGTTCTTTCATTCAAAAGTGAAAGCATATCAATTTATACTATAATTAACCAAACAAAAAAAATTGTCTATAAATTGCTCTTTTCGATTTTATTNTTTATACTATAATTAACCAAACAAAAAAAATTGTCTATAAATTGCTCTCTATCGATTCTATTAACGAGACTCACAATCAAACAAAAATGATCAAGGAGAGAGGGAACCCTTCATTTTCTTTCTGTTAACAAGTCTAATAATCCTTACAACATTATTTACTATACAAGTAACATACTCTCAGCTTTGCTTTATCTCAAAATAGACTCAGTTCAATAGTTTGTATTCTAACTGCCTGAATCTCACTCGTAGTGACTATGCTCTTAAAAGTCTCCAAAGCATTGTACTTACAAGAAACTCTTGGGTTTTAAATGAACATAAGCCCCATAATCATTAGAAGCATAAAGATGGAGAAGTAGACACTTTGGTATTTGTTTCCTCCATTCTTCGAGCAATATTTTAATATTATAATCATACACCTAATATTCATCATTACATATTTTTCTATTATTTTGTAATCTCTAATAGTTTTGATCGTTTAACTGATCTGACAATCTTTCAAGAGACTACTATTTACTTTCTAATATATTTACAATTGCATCTTATACTATAGCAACATGATCGAGGTTTTGTGTTATACAACAATTATGACCATATGGAAGACTTTTTCACGCAACTGTCCCTTTCAGTGGTGGTCAAAGTTGTGGCTCTCGCCCTGTATCTTCTTCTAAAATCGACAATGTCAAGGTTTATACCTCATTTTGTCTCCAAAGTTTTTTANAAGACTTTTTCACGCAACTGTCCCTTTCAGTGGTGGTCAAAGTTGTGGCTCTCGCCCCGTATCTTCTTCTAAAATCGACAATGTCAAGGTTTATACCTCATTTTGTCTCCAAAGTTTTTTTTTTATATTTTTATATTTTTCTCCTCGCTAGAGAGCTAACATTGTTTGTCGGAATCTAACACACTCACCTATCCACCAACCCAAAAAGGCTTGATATGCGCATTGGTGTAGGATCTGAGATAAAAGAGAGAGGAGAGAGATTTGAAGTTGATAGAGGAATGGAGGGAAAGAAAGTATTTTTAAAATAAAAGGATAAATAAGTCCGTCATCTNTTGATAGAGGAATGGAGGGAAAGAAAGTATTTTTAAAATAAAAGGATAAATAAGTCCTTTATCGNGGTGTAGGATCTGAGATAAAAGAGAGAGGAGAGAGATTTGAAGTTGATAGAGGAATGGAGGGAAAGAAAGTATTTTTAAAATAAAAGGATAAATAAGTCCGTCATCTATTAAAGTCATTTGAATGTAGGAAATTTACCCTATATAATATATGTGTGTGTGCCAACTTTAGTTTATTACATGTGAAGATAAAATGGAGGAAAAAATGAACGGCATGTCTCTCGTTGGCCCCATAACATATTACCTCCCTACTCTTTGAAAATTAAGATGTAACCCTCTAGAGTTTTGGACCAAAATGAACTGTTAAGATTTCCCTCGAATTAATTGAAAATGTATTACATGCGAAAAGAGTGATATTTACATGGAAACATTTTTTTTCCCTCCGGGATTAAAATTCGAAAATGACCAAAAGTCCCTCTATTTACAAGAAATCTGAAGTCTTTTTTGTTTGCCTATCTTACACGACAATATGCTCTCTATGACATTATAAAAATATATATGATACACAAATAGAAGAATATATATTTATCAAACCCCAATGCATATAAATGATAACACATTTGAGCATAAATGTTTATATGGAAAGAAGTGGGGAATATGGAGAGAAATGGGGAGAGGATCTACTCTTTCTACCTTGGTGGACGCATAAATAATAGGCCTACCCTTTTTTTATATCTTCAAAATTAATACAGATAATGAAAATATTAACATTATTTGACTAAAACTACTTAAAAAATAATTCCCTATTAACACAATCTAAAAAATGTCATTCAATGCTTTTATGAAACCGGATTCGTTCATTTATTAGTACCTCGTGGATTACATGAATTTTATTTTTTAATTGTGTCATGCAACTCAATTCAAGGAAAACGAGACGATAAATATCAGGCTTTGAACAACAAAATAGTCAATCAATCTAAGTAATCAAAAGTAATAAAACTAGCTAAAAATACTAGATCTTTCAGTACGAATGTGTATGTTATAGCTCATGAACTCTGAAATAGAGCAAATCATATGTTATTGGGTTAAATGGCAAAAAGAAAAAAAATGTACTTAGGGTCGGTTGTAATTAATGCTAAATTATAAACTCTTGCCCTCAACCTCCTTGAATTATGATTTATCCTCTAAAAATGGACAGATGTCATAAAATTAATGTAGAGTCTAAAAAAACAAAGTCTCCTAACTTTTTACCCAAAATTCCAAAAATATCCTCTCCTATCTGACAAGTTCACATCACTACACCTCTTTCTTTATCTCTCTATTGAGGACCAAGCAACCGGGCAAGAAACTCTGCCACACCTTCACCTTAATCTTTGTCTTCTTCTATTCTCTAATACTAAGCACCACTAGAGACTCCCCCACCGCACCACGCTGTCATATTCTTTTTCCCAATTTTTTTTTCTCTCTCCTTTCTATCTCGGCCACAAATCAAACCACCACCCTTAAAACCCTCTCTCTCCCCCCATTTTCTTTAGAGCTATGTTTGCCCTAATTCATCATCCCCAACTGAATTCATAGCTTGTGAAGTGTCTTAAAGCTCGAGTATTTTTAGATATTTCCTAAGCATTTTTTTTTGTAGGGTTTGGAAAAATGGAGATAACACATGTAATGTTTACTATATATTGGATGCCTAAATTATCAAAAAAGAAAAATTATGTTGTACCACCCTGTACTGATCTAGAGTTTTTGACATATTGAAGACTTGACAATGAGGGGCACATTGACACTTTGATCATCCACCCCCTCAAGGGCAACCACAACTCCACTCTAATGGAATCCAAATTTCNAATGGAGATAACACATGTAATGTTTACTATATATTGGATGCCTAAATTATCAAAAAAAGAAAAATTATGTTGTACCACCCTGTACTGATCTAGAGTTTTTGACATATTGAAGACTTGACAGTGAGGGGCACATTGACACTTTGATCATCCACCCCCTCAAGGGCAACCGCAACTCCACTCTAATGAAATCCAAATTTTCTGATTTGAATTTTCCCTAACTTGAACTCTATGCTTGGCCACCTTCAATGTACAAACCCGATCCATAGTACTCCAAACCCTAGGTGGAGATAGGATAAATTGAGGCATAATTGGTGAATGACTTTGGAGAGGTTGTGATGTATTCAAGGTTATGGATGTCATATACATGTTTTGTGGGTGAGAGAGAGGTGAAGGAAGGTGGTTGTGCTGGCCCTTTGTGTGCTTAGCAAGAGAGAGACAGAGAGAGAAAAGGTGGTGATTGAACAACAATTTGAACCAATGCCAATTCCAACTCCTACTCCAACTAAAGATAAACAAGATTTAGATATACTAAAATATCCATTTGAAAGTTGCCTACAAAAGCATGTTTAGGCAATACCAAGAAATACTCGAGCTTTAAGATACTTTCACAAGCCATAAACTTAGTTTGGGATTAAGAAGTGGGAGCAAACATAGCTCTGAAGAAAAATGAGAGATAGCGAGAGGGTGGGGGAGAGAGGAAGTTCCAATGGTGGTGGTTTGGTTTGTGGCCGAGATAGAAGGGAGAGCGAAGAGGAGGAATGAGAAGACGAAGTTGTGGTGGGGTGGGGGAGTCTACTGGTGGTGCTCAACAAAGAGGAGAGAAGAAAATGAAGGTGTGATGGAGTTTCTTGCCCTCCTCAAGCGAGAGAAGTATTTTTGGAATTATGGTATAAAAGTTGAAAGAATTAGTTTTTAAGAAGAAAAGAGCACGTTCTATTGCGTTCAAGTGCGGCGAATTCAGAACTCATGGCCTTCTGCCATTTTACGGACCGATGAGCTTCTATGAAAGAAGAAGGCTCCACTTAATCCATTGAAAGATGAACAGTGAGAGCATATTTGGGATTTTGTTTGTGAGTGTCATCTTGGGTGCGAGTGGTCATCCGATGAATGCCACTAGAGGAGGGGTCCAAAGCCGGAGGCGAATCGGTAATGAGGGGCATATCGTTGTTGTCCAAGGGAGTAGCAGTTGTGGAGGATAAAGGTTCTATGGAAGAAGGAACTTGAGACGGGTTTGGGACCTGCAACTGGGGTTCAGAGACAGAGGAAGGAAAATTAATGCTTGAAGATGACCCATCCACGGATTGAGTGAAATTCTGGGCACCAGTGCAATGCTTGAACAGAAAGGAACTTTCATAAAAAATAACATGGCACGAGAGAAACGCTACTGGGGTGTCTGTCAAAATATCGATACCCTAGATGTTGAAGGGAATAACCCAAAAAAAGGAATAAGTTGTAGGTCGATGAAATAGTTTCTCATATGGAGATAGATAATTTAGGCCTTTGGCCACTGAAGCATTGAAGGTTTCCACCCAAAAATCAGATGGGAGTCTAGCTTGGGCCATAAGAGTGATTCCCGTATCTACAATATGACAAAGTTCGCATTCTGAGATGCCATTTTGTTCGAGTGTGTGTGGACACGACACGCGGCGAGCAATACCNCGAGAGAAACGCTACTGGGGTGTCTGTCAAAATATCGATACCCTAGATGGTGAAGGGAATAACCCAAAAAAAGGAATAAGTTGTAGGTCGATGAAATAGTTTCTCATATGGAGATAGATAATTTAGGCCTTTGGCCACTGAAGCATTGAAGGTTTCCACCCAAAAATCAGATGGGAGTCTAGCTTGGGCCATAAGAGTGATTCCCGTATCTACAATATGACAAAGTTTGCATTCTGAGATGCCATTTTGTTCGAGTGTGTGTGGACACGACACGCGGCGAGCAATACTATGGTCAGACAAGTAAGTCTTAAATTGAGTCTTATTATACTCACCCCTTCCATGAGAATAGATTTTCCACATGTCTTAAATTCAACAAAATATGTAAAAGTCTCATGTTTAAATCTCATTGGAAAAATCATGAATACTTAGAAAAAGCATCAACAAAAAGAAGATAATACTTAAAATTTATTATGCAAAAACGAGTCNACATCAGATTGAACAAGCTCTAAAAGATACGACGTTATAGACTCAGACAATTGAATGGTAAACAACAACTTTTACCCAAAGGACAAGACCCACAAAACACAGTATCCTTAACGGAACCAAGAAGAAGAAATTTATTATGCAAAACGAGTCGCTTTAACATAGGAAAAGCCATATGTCTAGCCAAATAGAAGACGAGACTCGTTCAGTAACAAATGCAAATGACAGTAGGCGTTGGTGTTGAATTTGGTGATGGAGTCGCATTGAATACAACCAATTTTCACTCTTGTCGTGGAAAAGCATCTTCCCCGTTTGGATGTCCTTCACAGAAAAATCATCAGTNTAACAAATGCAAATGACAGTAGGCGTTGGTGTTGAATTTGGTGATGGAGTCGCATTGGATACAACCAATTTTCACTCTTGTCGTGGAAAAGCATCTTCCCCGTTTGGATGTCCTTCACAGAAAAATCATCAGCAGTGAAGATAAAATAACAATTATTGTCACGAGAAAACTGATGAACCAACAATAAATTGACCGAAACATTAGGACAGTGTAAAACATTTTTCAATTGAAAATTGGAGGAGTCATTTCTAAGAGTGGTTGAACCAAAATTAGAAATAGGCAAACCTGCTCCATTTTCAATTGCCACTCGATCAGAGCCTTCATAGGAATTATGAATACAAAGATTAGCAAGGTCAGAATTAACATGCGTGAAGGCACCATTATCAATGATCCAAGTTTGTTCGTCTGAGGGGCCTATTGATTTAGCCACCATAGCGGCAAGCCGTTTGGTTGGAACACGACCTTCATAAGCATGATTCAACCTTTANGCAAGGTCAGAATTAACATGCGTGAAGGCACCATTATCAATGATCCAAGTTTGTTCGCCTATTGATTTAGCCACCATAGCGGCAAGCCGTTTGGTTGGAACACGACCTTCATAAGCATGATTCAACCTTTGATAGCAATCAATTGCTATGTGGTTGTAGTGACCACAAATTTGGCATAATAAATCANCACGACCTTCATAAGCATGATTCAACCTTTGATAGCAATCAATTGCTATGTGGTTGTAGTGACCACAAATTTGGCATAATAAATCACAAGACGAATATTTCTGAGAGTGTCCAGATGAGCCGCTGCCACATGGAGAACTTCTGCCACCGGTGGACTTGAAGGATCCTTTGTCATGGTATTTAGCATGTGTGGTAGGTGGGTTCTGGAAGCGATGTGGCTATTTCGACTTTGGTGCATAAAGAACGGTATTAGAAGAATCCAACATAGAAGAATTATGGTCCCCATGTCGCATCTCGGCACTAAGAAAAAAACCAGTAAGATCATTAAATGTGATAGCTGTGTACAAGCTTGAATGAACTTAACCGTTGCCTCGTATGATGGCCCTACACCATTGAGAATAAGAGTGGCCAAATCATCCACTTCCACGAGTTTTCCAGCAATGGCTAAGTTGTCAGCAATGCCGGTCATCTTATCAACATAATCTGAGATTGATAGATTTCCTCATTTGTTAGTTTGGAGTTGGTTCTTCAGTTTCATTATTCGAGTATGTTAGAAGTTAATTTGCAATTTTGGAAAAGTCTGGAAGTTTATGCTTGAGTCTTCCCAGAAGTTTTTTCATCTCCCAAAGTGTTTAGGTGGCTGTTATTATTTTCTTCTTAGTTTCTTATGTAATTTCCTATAGAAGGATAGTTATGGTGCATGTTTTGGGGGNTTATTATTTTCTTCTTAGTTTCTTATGTAATTTCCTATAGAAGGATAGTTATGGTGCATGTTTTGGGGGAGATTAGAATCAGTAAAAAAGGCATTACAGGTGCAGCAGCTCTGTAACTCCCTTTAACCCTTTTTACTCAAAGAGTTCTATAGTAGAAAAAATACTCTGTTTTCTCATTGTCCACTTTGCTTCTTGTCTGTCCCAACAGAGACTGAGAAGCATAGCATTTATCGAGCGTCTTTCAAACATCATGAGATGTAGAGAGACGACCCATAGTGGACAGCATAGTGGGTGTCAAAGTGGCATTAATCCAACTAAGCAACGCTTGATCTTGTTGTTCCCAGTGAACATAGTTGGGATTAACAGTGGTGCTTCGTTTGCCATCAGAACCTGCTACAAACATAGTAGGACCAGGCTTTGTTCCATCAATATAGCCAAAAAGATCCATGTTTTGAGCAGTGGAATGAACTGAGCAAGCCATAGGACGTAGTTGGTGTGATCAAGTTTGATAGACACAAGGTGTGAGATATTCGGAGAAGGGCTGGAAGTATTAGAAGACATGGATAAAAAAAATTTATCTTCATTGGCAACAGTGATGAATCAAAGGGTTATCGACTCTTTAACCCAAAGAAAAATCAGCTCATAATGTCAAGAGATGTTGTTTTTGATGAAATGGCAGCATGGAAATGGGATGGGAATTCATCATCAGCACCAAAATTATTTGAGATTCCCGAACCAGCAACATTTCATGGAAATTCCCATCCATCAACAAGTCAAAACACAAGTTCCAGTTCAAGTCAAGCAACTAGCCCATCAAGACCTTCAGGCTTATCCTCATCAGAAGAGGTTTCTGCAAAATCAGAATCTCCACCAAGGAAGGTTCGACCCTTATCTAATTTTTATCTGTCTTATGATGTTGCTTTCTTTGCTTATGAACCACAAAACTTTGAAGAAGCAACAAAAGAGGAAATATGGACAAAAGCTATGAATGAAGAAATGGCAAGCATTGAGAAAAACCATACATGGGAACTTGTTGATTTGCTGAACAGAAGAGATGTGATTGGATTAAAGTGGATTTACAAAACAAAGTATATAGAAGATGGAAGCATTCAAAAGCATAAAGCTCGGCTTGTAGCAAAAGGCTACTCACAACAGCCTAGAGTTGATTTTACTGAAACTTTCGCTCCTGTTGCTCATATGGAAACCATAAGACTTGTTCTTGTCATTGCATCGCAACTGGAGTTGAAAGTATTTCAGCTTGATGTAAAATCTGCATTTCTAAATGGTGAATTGAATGAAGAGGTGTATGTGGAGCAGCCTCAAGGATATGTAGTCAAAGGAAAGGAAAATAAGGTTTATTGGCTTCAAAAGGCTCTATACGGCTTAAAACAGGCTCCTAGAGCTTGGAACAACAAGATTGATTGCTACTTTCATAAAAAAGGTTTTGAAAGAAGTCCAAGTGAACCATCACTTTATGTGAAGAAAGAAGGTACTGATTTTCTTGCTGTTTGTTTATATGTTGATGACCTAATCTACACTGGCACAAATCCAAGAATGCTGGTGGATTTTAAGAAGGCCATGATGAAAGAATATGAAATGACAGATTTAGGAATAATGAAATACTTTCTTGCGATTCAAGTGAAGCAATCACAGGGAGAGATTTTTATCTCTCAAGAAAAGTATGTTGAGGATTTGTTGAAGAAATTCCACATGGAAAAATGCAAGCCAATGGCTACTCCTATGGCTCTTAATGAAAAATTGCAGCAGAATGATAGAGCAGATCAGACTGATTCAAAAGAGTTTTGAAGTCTGGTTGGTTCTTTGATTTATCTCACAAATACAAGATCTGATATTGTTCACTCTGTTAATGTCATTTCTAGATTCATGAACAAACTGAGTAAGATAAATTTTGCAGCAGCAAAGCGAATCCTCCGCTATCTTCAAGGCACTAAGAAACTTCGGCTCAAGTGTGTGAAAGATGCAGACAACAAAATTAAAGGTTTCACTGACAGTGATTGGGCAGGCTCTCTTGATGATTGAAAGAGCACATCAGGTTATTTGTTTAGTTTGGGTTTAAAGGTAATCTCGTGGAGTTCAAGAAAGCAAAGGACTGTTGCATTATCATCAGCAGAAGCAGAATATATTGTAGCAACAGAAGCAGCATGTGAAGCTGTCTGGTTACGAAGAATTTTGGTTGATTTGCAACAAAAGAATGGGAGCCTACAATCATCTACTGCAACAATATGTCAGCCATAGCAATGACCAAAAATCCAGTATTTCATGCTAGATCAAAACATATTGAGCTTCGGCACCATTTTATTCGAGATTTGGTGAACAAAGGGGAAATTTGTTTGGAGTTTGTCAAGACCAATGATCAGCCTGCTGATATACTTACCAAGGCTGTAGTTTCTGAAAAATGTGAGCAATTCAAGATGCAATTGAAAATCACAAATTAAGAGGGGTGTTAGAAGTTAATTTGCAATTTTGGAAAAGTCTAGAAGTTTATGCTTGAGTCTTCCCA